CGATAATATGCCTGGGCAAATTTTGTTCCCTTAGACATACACCTCAATGGCAGTTCTTATATTTTCATATTTACATATTAACATATGTATAAAAGAACACTTTAACAAAAATGCCCGGGCTTTTATATATACAATATAAAATGTACAGTTATTATTCCAGTTAGAATTATTCCTCAGCAGCTGCAAACATTATGCCAGTTGCCATTAAAGCTTGCTTACCCTCCTCCTGTCTCTTTCTTAAAATCTCGGATGTCCCCGGAATTAATGGGGACAGCCACATATTCCTAGTCACTGGTCCCTAAGCGCTAGAGTCAGAGTCGCTATCAGAGTCTCCCTGGGGTTGCAGATTTGGAAGCCCGGGAGTCGGAGGGGCTGCAGGTGGGGGTGGTGGAATATAGGGAGGCAGTGGGGCTGGGATGTCTAATTCCCGGTTTTTCTTGCACCTCCCATCCCCTCCTTTTTCTTTTAGAGGATATAAATTGGCTCGAGTTTCCGAGCTGATCCACAAATGTGCATATTCACTTTCTTCCAAACTAAAAGGTTCCTTTGAGTTTACATAAATATTTAGGGCTTGGCAAACCCAATCTTCAAAGGACCCAAATACAGGCCAGTAAAGGTGGTCTCCTCGAATCTGTTTACCACCGCAAACTTCAACACAATAATGCCTCATTTTTACTTTATTCCTTCCCCGCCTAAAACGGGAATCCTCCCAATTTTTAATCATTAATCCCGGGGAAACCTAACATCAGATGTTACCCCACCCATGGGACCAGAAGGCTTACCCTTCTTCTGTCCCATCTTCCGGAGCGCGTTCATACACACACGCATGAATCGCTTCCCCCTTTTTGTGGCCCAGTACCTCGCGGGATGTGGGAACCGCACTACTGAGGGGTCCGCACTCACTTCGTCCGCAATTGGACGTCTCACAACGCTACGCTCCAGGATACCCAACCCCAACCGAACGGATCACCGGCCTATACTTACTCACTCCTGAGTCTTCGTTCGGTCTTCATGCACAAAGATTACTAGGGGTTTACCGGCTATATTTGCTTGCTGCCGAATTTAGGGTTCGTTGGTGAAAGATTTGAATGAAAGTAGTCCTAGCGAAGGCCACTGAAATCAGCGGGGCACTCCCTCCGAAGGTCTTTCAATCAGATTGCCTTCATCCGAGTCACGGCACCAAATTAGTTATAAGTTGCCCCCTTAATTAATTTTCAGAGAGCATTACATTAATAATAGAAAGGAATTTATTGAGTAAGCAACAGCAAGCAAAACAGCGCTGGGCTGTTTTTACGTTCCCCAGGAACATGTTTGGCTTCTCCAGGGAGTTGCCAGAATGCTCCTTGGAAAAGACGGCTTGATCAGAGGACTTGTGCCGAGGTCCTGCTAGCAAGATTGGTGGTCTGGGGAGATTGTTGGCTGCTCCAGGGAGATGCCTGTGTGCTGCACGGAGAAGCCTGGGCATCCTTGGGATGTGCCCGTGTGCCTAATGGAGATGGTGGTGTGAATCAGGGCAGTGCTTTGCTACGGTGGATGAAGCGACACAAGCAGTCTGGCTGTGCTCTTTATTTTCCATTCAGGGGTGGAAAGCGGGAGAGCTTCCCAGCCCCTTTGCTCAGAGCTCCGCTGCTGCCTTCAGCATTCCCAGCACCTTCCCCTCCGTTGCGGTACCAGCATCTAGCGCTAGGGAGTCAGAAAGAAAAGAGGATGATCAGGTTGTGTACAGGCTGAACACAGAGAAGTACTGCAGGCTTAGCTCGGGCCGTGCACGTAGGGGTCTGCTTCCCATGAAGCTTCAAGGTTGCCGTCAGCTGCGACAGATGCCTAGTGCCCAAGCTCATCAGCCTGGGGCTGAGGCAGGGGGAGCGGAGGGCCCCGGAATGCCCTCTCTGTCCCAGTGCTGCCCCCACGGGAAGGACGGGCCTTGCAGCAGCGGGAAGCACCATCCCTTTCTGGAGATACTTACCAGGGGAGCCGCTGCTGCTCTTGCCTGCAGCCGCTTTTCCTCCTGCAGCACTTCTGAACACCCTTTGTTGACTGCGATGCGGCTCCGACCTTTTCAAAACTTGCAGTGCTCGTGGGGAAAGGTGGCTGCAACACCAGGAGAAAGGGATCCCTCAGCCTCTGCCAGACACCCCTTCTGCCTCTCCCCTCATCCAGACCCTGCACCCACGCGGTGCCACGTGCACCCACCCTTTCGCCCTGTGATGAGTTTTAGGCCTTGGCGGTAACCAAGGTCATGCCCGCTTTAGGAGAAAGCAAAGGGTGTCATAGGCAAGCCCAGGACTCAGGGACCGGGCTGCTGGACATCTCCTGACATCGCTCAGCAGCTACTCGAGTGCCCCAGCACGTGAACGCAGCCGGCACACACTTACTCAGGCTGGAGGCTCTCCAGCTTGGCTGCCACTCTCCACTCCTCTTCTGCGGCAGGGATCTGAACCTTCCTCCACCTCCTCACGACCTCCTTGCTCCTGGGCTGGGCTGGGGGATGGGGAATCCAATCAGTGTTGCCTGGTGACCTGATGCAAGGAGAAGACGCTCTCATCAGACAGGACTGGACACACGGCTGCTGTTTCCCAGAGGACCCCTTGAAAGGACCCTGCAGCAGGAGCTGGGAAGCAGGCGACTCGGCACTGCCGGCCCACGTCTGGCTGCTGCTTTGATCCCTCGCTTTCTGCTGACAGCCTCTCCCTCACAGGGAGGAGCAGGCAAAGCCCTGCCCTGCGCCCTGGTGCCCGTCCTGCTCCCACCACCCTGGGACCTGCCCCCCTCGGAGCCCTGGCGGGGAGGATCACTGCTGTTCTCAGCGGTGTTGGTCACGGCCAGTACCTGAGGTGTCTCTCGGTCCTCCCCCTGAGACCAGGCTTCCCAAGCAGCCATTTCTGCCCGGGCTTGCTGTATTCGCTTTTGGTACAAGGGCCACGAGCTCTTTGTTTGGTCCCACTGTGAGGACAGGTTCCAGACCTCCTGGAGGAAAACAAACAAAAAACACAACAGCAGACAGGATTGGTCTCAGCTGTTGGACCAAAGACCTCTGCCATCAAAGACCCAGAAAGCCCTCATTCCTTTTCCATTGCCCCTGGTCCAAATGAAGCGGCTCATGGCAACACGGGAGGCAGCAAGAGGCAGGGAAGGTGTGTGGGACACCACCTTCCATCTCCCGAGGAAGAGAAGAAGGAGGTAACAAGTGTGAAAATGAACGCATCCCAAGGGTCCGGCTTGGGATCGCTCCACACAAAGAGGCTTTAGTACAGTCCCAAACCGCGTGGTCATTGCAGCAAGGCAGAGCAGGTACCTGCACCGATCTCTGAGAGGCTTCGGGAGTAGGGAGCGCAGTGCTGGTGGACTTGGCTTGAGGAGCTGCTTCCTGCCTGTCTGTCTTCTTTGTCCTGGGGGAGCTGCCTGGACACGGGGGGAGCACACTGCAAACAGACACCGGGAGGCTGCATGAGCCCAGGGGAATTCGGTCTCCAGTCCGCGCTCGCAAGCTGCGTCAGCCTCTGCAGCAGACGGCAGTTCCGCAGCGAATGGGTGTTGGACTGGCCGCTGTTCGCTTCAGCAGACACGGAAAGAGCCAACCGCGAAGCAGTGGCACCAGCTGCCTTCAGGAAGGCTCGCGATGCCCGTATCCAGGCCCTCTGTGGTGGCAGAAGGAGAGGAGCAGTGTCTTGTGCAAGGACAGGATCCTAGAGACACCAATACGGCCCAGCCGGGCTTATGGGTGGAAAGCAGATTATCGCTGGGGAGCCAGCAACATCGGAGAACGCCATCAGGCAAGGAATCACAGAATCACAGAATCTCTAGGTTGGAAGAGACCTCAAGATCATCGAGTCTGAATACAAGCATCTTCCTGAAGCACCCTCCATGGCACCAAAGTACCTCCCCAGGGAATATAGGCACCTCTTGAAATCAGATATACTTCCTGCAGGACACATGAGGTCTCCAAGAGCAATTCCACAGTCAGGCTGAAGAAGCAGACAGTCTTTTGGAAGCCACTGGATTAAGATGAATTCAATGACCCCATGTCACCCTGGGGGCCTTAAATCACTCAGACTGTCACAGAAAAGGGACACTACAGGGTGCAAACATTCCCGAGGTTTCTATGGGTTCTTGGAGGCATCTTCTGTGCACAGCTGCCAGATGGGCCGACCTAGGTGATGTTCACCAGGATCTGGGACTTGCAAACAGGAAAACCCGTGTCTTGACAATCCTCCTGCAAAATGCGTGTCATAGTCCAGCTGCTTTTCAGCACAGGGAAAGAGATGAGGTTTTGGGGCCCAGCCCTACATCCAGCACTGCACAGGCCCACTCACTCATAGACCCTGGGAGGCCTGCAGCCCTGGAGAGTATTGGCAGACAGACTTTAGCAAACTGCCTAGAAAATGGGGAGGAACACAGCAGTGACTTCTCCAGCGCTCTACTTGCTTTATTCTGTGGCCTTTGTCAGAATTTGGAGATGTTCCTGGTGGATGGGCCAGGAACCGCTAGGAATGAACTGGGCAGAAGGGAGGTGACTGTTTCTCAGGACAAGAAGGGAAATCTCTCGTCTCTCTCCTGAGCTGTGCTGTCTCCATGCTGCTGACGTCATAAGGCTTATTATGACACGTGATGATGTCACAGAAGGATGTCCTGCATCACCAGGATATAAGCATTGGTGCAGCAGCAGTGCCGGCACTTCCCTGCAAGGCCTGGTCCCTGCTGGGCACTGCTTGGGTGCTCCCCAGCGCTGTCCTTCTGCGGCCAGGAGTGGGGTCAGCAGGCAGCAAGCTTGCACTGGGCGACCCTCGCTGACGGGCGGAGGAGCAGGGGCACCTTGCAGAGGAGCTGTGGTTGAGGAGCCAGGGCGGGCATCCCTTGTCCTGAGCTGAGGGCCAGCAGCAAGCGAGATGGAGGGCTGCTGGAGGGTGACCATCGCCTCTGATATGGTTTCCCAGTTCCCAGTGCTCCTGAATCTCTCCCCCAAAGGTAAGGGTGTCAGGAGCCCCTTCGCAAGGGGTGGCCCAGGGGCTGTCAGCTGTCCAAAGCTGCAGGTCCTGGGCTGGGGGGTGGTGGCGGTGCTGGACAGAGCTGGTGGCTGCTGCAAGAGCCCTGCCTGAGGGTCCCGCTGGGCTCAGGGGACAATGTGGCAGCCAGGACTCCTGGGTCCTGATGCTAGGGCTGTCCTCAGCCCCAGGGCTCCTCTGGGCATGGCTCAGCCTCCTCGTGATGGGGACAATCCAGGGCCAGGTTTCCCTGGGAGCTGCTTCCTCTTTGGGATCTGGCTCTGGGAGGAAAGACCTCTGGTGTCCCAGAGACTGCTGTGGCCTGCAGCTCCCACAGGCCTCTCAGGAATGTCCCAGGAATGCCCGCATGGTGTTTTTCTGGGGGGCTCGCGTATGCCTGCATGTGTCCTCGCCTGGGTGAGGTGCTTGCCAAGAGGTGGTGAGCTGGCTGGCCTGGAGCCTGACCTGTCTTTTCCTTGCTTTCCAGAGACTGAGGCTATCTGGGATGCTGTATCCGAGCAAATTCTGGAAGCGCTGAAGCAGGATAAGGTGGGCTGGTGTCCTGGGCCCTGCAGAGCAATCCCTACCCGAGCAGCACGGCAGTGCACTGAGACTGCCCAGGGTGCCCGGAGCAGCTTGCTGGCCAGCTGGGAGAGAAACCAAGGCCATATCTGCTCTGCTTCTCAGGGGTTTGGCACACCCTAGGGCTTCACTCTTCCCTGCGGCCTGGGTGGAGAGGGCGAGCAGAGAGATGGGGGAATATCCTGGGTCCGTGCCTAGGATAATCAGTCCCAGGCCTAAGCCGTGTGCTGGAAACCTCTGGGCTCTTCCCTAGCCAAGGGATGGTGGCAAATCCTGGGAGGGGGGTGATGGAAGAAACGGAGGATGCGGCTCTTCTCCAAAGCTTTCCAAAGTGCCCCACCTTGCCCCATTGTCCCTCAGGAGCAGGCAGGGCACAGAGCAGTGTCCCCCTGCTCGGAGAGTCATCCCTTTTCCCGTCTCTCAAGAACTCCCTCCTCAGCCTTTCTGTCTTCTCTGTGTGCAGGCTATTCAGGTTGCGGGACTCGGGACCTTTGCTGTTCTCCAAGAGCAATTCCACGTCAAGCAAAAGCGGCTCCTGATTCGCAAACCGTTCTTCCAGCTGGACATTGATGAGGGGTGGCTGGAGTACATGTACTGTCCCCCTGAGATCCTCCCTGGTGAGAAGGCAGCAGCCCCCCTCTTCCTGCCCCATGTCCGGAAGGATTTGTTCTCCCTGCTCTTTGGAAAGGCCTGGGAGAGGCAGAGGATTGTCTCCAACGGTCAGGGTGGAGCTTGAGTTCCCCCAGAAGACCCCGTGGCCCCGGAGCTGTTTCTCTTAGCAACCCTTCCTCTAGGCCCTTGTTCGGAATGCTGCAAGCAACTTGGGCTTGCTGTGGCACTGAGGATGTTGCTTCTCCTTGCAGATGACGTCAAGGTCGAGCGGGTTGTTCTGAAACCCCCAGACATCAAAGACTTCATACAAACACGAATAGCATTCTTATTGACACTTCACCAGTAATTAAAACATTCTTCACCAGCCATTCACAGGGACAGTCACACCTATAGCAGTGTTAAGTTAATCTCGAAGAAGACAAAAAAAAGGCTGTAACTGTTAGAAATAGAAGTCCGGAATAACTAAAGCAAACAGGTTCATAAATTTGAGGAGTATTTTCTGAAGACTTGATAAATTGACTAGAATGAGGGGGAGACTGGGACACACTGCATCTGTGGTTCAAGAATGAAATTGCCAGTGCAGGGCCCAGAGGCAGACAGGACTGTTCTTTATGGACACGAATTGTTATAACATTCCTAACAACTTGAATGCAGCGCCTTGTCTGTGCTACTCTGTGTGACTTTTTGCCATTTAGGGGATGAAAAGAAATGCTCACCAAAGCATGGACAGGACCTCCTGTATCCTGATCACTTCCAGCTCTTTCCCTATCCACCAGTGCCGTAACCCTGCCGTAGAAGGCCACCAGATATTTCAGGCATGATCTGCCCTTAATGAAGCCGCATTGTCTGTCACCAAGCGCCTCTTTGCCACGGATCCCTGGCTGCTCCGTAAATGTTCCTGCATTCCTCCTGGGAGGCTCAAGAGAGACCTTATCACCCCACTGCCCCACAGATGGTCCCACAGCTGTGCTGCCAAGGCACCACACATTCAGGGCTGGGTCAAGCTCCTACTGACCGCAACAGGGACAATTGCCATGGAACACAGAACGCAATGCACAGGAAAAATCACACACAATTAGCAACCAAATAACAGTCGTTTTGTAGCCAACTCCTGGGAAGGGTTACAGCTGGGGCTATACAAATATATATCTCACTATACAGACAGAAAATGTGAATATTTCCACCAAGAAAGGCAGATAGTACAGGTACGATTGGCACAAATTTACCCATTCAAAGATGGAGCATTTCAGGGAACAATCTTAACTCTGTTTTCTCTGCTCTAACAGGCAGGAGAGGTCAGAAGTCACAGATTTTCTCTGTGCCAGGAGTGAGGGGTGGCATGAACCGTCCTGGGCAGGGAGGGTTTTGTGGCATCAGAACTCCATACAGGACAGAAAATTGTCATTGTAGGCCCGAGTACTACCTACTTGTTTTTAAAGCATTTCAAACATTTCACCTCAATCAGCACATTACAGTCAGCTGAAAGAGCTGAACAGTTCTAATACAATGTGAAAGGTGTCCCATGACATCAAAATTATCATATTTCAGGATGCCTATTACAGTGGGAGACAAATACTGATCTTCCCCTGTACTTGCATTGCCAGAATATATCTTAAGCACTGCACTTCATCTCCTCAGTCTTTGAGGTATTTCCACCTGGCCTTACGAAACAAACCATGCTGGAAGTCACCTTTCCAACAGAATGTGTGGACATGTGCATCTTCCACTCTTCTGCAGAGTTCCCCTCCACTTGCTCTTGCTCTTTGGTCATTCAGGTACTTCTCATAGACCCAGTTGCTCCTAGGGATTTTGGGGAGGTTGAGCTTGCCTGTATTTCAGTAGCCCCTCTCATCATCCCTGTAGTCAACTCTGTATTTCTCTTTTACCATTTCCTATCTCTCTGTGTCAAAAATTTCTTGTACAGTCATCCCTTGTGGATGGTGCACCTCATTGGAGGCAACTTGGAGTTGGCTCACCATTGTGGGCTCTGGTTTCTGTTTATTTCTTTTCATTTTGTTGGTGTTCGTTTCTTTTTTATATATTTTTTATAAATACTGAAACCAAATTTTTCACCTATATAGACCTCCTTTGGACGCACATTGGATCCATGACCACTAGAGAATGATGCTAGCACTTCTTTGCAAAACTGAAAACTAATGGAAACTAATCTTAAATAAAGAAAATGCTTTCTGTAAAGTGGTCATTGAAATCTTCTCCTTTAACTGCATTCTTGAAACCTCACTAATTAACTGAATAAGTCTGGAAGACTGGATGAAAATGGCTGAATTCTAATGAGCCCCATGGTGCATTTGGTGCTGAGTCCCTAAACCTCAGGTAGTAAGACGATAATGATGTAACTGCAGGAGAAGTTCAAGTCAGGAGACTTTGAAGTGTCTAGGAGTATTAATGGGCCCCAGTGAGGGTCATTACTGACAAAGCCTCCCCATGGACTTGTTAGAGCACACAATTGGAGGCCATGATTGCAGGTAGGCAAAGGCACTGGGCAGGAGACTCTGATGCTGAGTAAAGGCCTTGGTTTGTTTGGTGAAGCAGAAAGGCCAAGCTCTGGCACCCAGCCCCTGGGCAGGGAAGTCCTGTCCCTCACCCATGGCTCAGGGCTCTTCCTGGGGCAGTGGGATGTGGGGTGTGTGATATTGTGTGAAGGACAATGCTACGACACCTGCTGGCCTCCCTACTGGGTTGCAAGGAGGCCACAAGGCCTTGAGTCTGTTTTGCCTGTGGCAATAACTGTTGTGATCTCCCTGTCCTCATCTCAACCCCTGAGCCCTTTTCATCGTATTTTCTCCCCCTTTCCCTTTGAGGAGGGGCAGTGAGAGAGCGGTTGTGGTGGAGTTCAGCTGCCCAGCTGGGTAAAACACCACACCCGCTCTAGCTGACGCTGCCTGATCAGGGGGATCAGACAGAGGATCACTTGGAAAACAACTTTAAAAACAAACAAATAGACAAAGAAGAAAGAAAACTGCTCAAAACCTACCAACTAAAAACACATGCAAGCCCCTCAAAGAACTACGGTGGCCATTAGGTTATTGTGGGCTTGGAGAATGTCTCAAAAACTTGTCTACGAGAGATGAAATCACTTAAGATTACTTTAAGTTAGTCACTAATTACTTTAGATTGATCCATTCCTTTATTATTATTATTAATAATAATAATAATTATTTATATTTTTTATATATTTTCTAGTTCTGATTACTTTTGATATTTGAAGCCACTGTATCTTTGGAGTTGAGTCTTTTTATTTATTATTATTTTTTATTTATTTTTCTCTTCTTGGCAGCTATGCTTTCAGAGCTCCCGTCCGTTTTTCATCTCACGATTTGTTTGTGTAGCAAGACAGGCCAAGTGATGTTGTTTTCACAGCTCAGAGTTATTCCAGTAGGATATTCAGTTTCTCCAGCTCTTTTCCTTGTCTCTTTAACACTTTCTTCTTTTTCTCCATTCTTGAGAGTCCCCCATCTGCTTGGCATCAGGCACAACATTCACTCCAAAGGTTAAGCATTACATTTATGGAGGTGAGAGTATCCAGTAGAATAAAATTGCCTTTTTTTTTTTCCCCAATCCAATCCTGCATAAAATATGCTCCCTAACAGTCTGTCAGAAAAAAAAAAAAAAAAAAAAAAAAAAAAAAAGAGAGAGAGAGAGAGAGAGAGACTTCAACAAAAAGGGCCAGGGGATATTTTTCCAGGAGGGACTTCCTGCTGGCCAGGTGGATACTCATGGATTTCCCACCTGCTTAGTCATCCCCAGGAGCTTGCACAAAGTACGTTTCAAGGCTTCCTTCATCTGCTCGTTCCTTAGACTGAATATGAACGGGTTTAAAAGAGGTGTGACGATGCTGGAGAGAACAGAGAGGATTTTGTTGAGGTGCACAGAGTTCATCTGGGGCGGCCTGAGGTAGATGAAGATAGAGATGCCAAAGCCCAGGGAAACCACGACGAAATGTGAAGCACAAGTGGCAGATGCTTTCTGCCTGCCCTGGTTGGACGGAATCCAGAGTATGGTTGAAATGATCCGGACGTAGGATGCTGCAGTCAGTGCCAGGGAACCGAGGAGCAGGACCGAAGACACCACCAAATCAGTCAACTCAACAACCCAAACGTCCGTACAGGCGAGGCGCAGGAGAGGCGTGCTGTCACAGAAGTAGTGCTCGATGACATTGGGACCACAGTAGGGCAGCCCGGCTCTAAGCACCGCTGATGGCAGGATCACGAGCAAGCCACCCACCCACACGGACAGGACAAGCTGGTTACACACCCTTCCCGTCATGATGGTGGGATACCTCAGCGGGTGGCATATTGCCACGTACCGGTCATAGGACATGATGGCAAAGAGGAGGAACTCTGCTGCAACAAGGGAGAAGTAAAAGTAGAGCTGGCTGAAGCAGCCCGCAAAGGAGATGGTTTTCTTCTCTGACAGAACATTTGCCAGCATTTTTGGCACCAGAGTGGAGGTTGTGGAGATCTCGATGAAGGAAAAGTTGCTGAGGAAGTAGTACATGGGAGAATGGAGATGGCAGTCTACATATACGAGTACGATGATAAGAGCATTTGCCAGGACAGTGACTAAATAAACAAACAGGAACACCACGAAGAAGACAATCTCTACCTCAAGGCTGTTAGGAAACCCCACCAGGATGAACTCTGTCACAGTGGTGGCATTCCCCATTGTTCCCCACACGTTTGCTGTCAGCTCTTCGAAATTTAACTCATTCCTTTTAAATAAAGATCTTTTCTTAGCAGTCACATCTCCGTTCCTCCCCATCTAGCAGTCACCAATACTTGTTACAGCTTTTCACTTCAAAAGGATGGAGCAGACGAGTCCTTGCTGCCAAGCTGCTTCAGTGTCTCTGTTACCATCGGCCAGAATTGCCATCAAACATCTACATATGACTAGTTATTGTCACCCTGCGTTTTCTACAGCTGGATTTTCAGTTATGCATGCTCAAAGTGACCAAACATTGCATTTGCAAGGAAAATACCCCTGCTTAGACATTGGTTGCTTCATGGTTGCCTTCATCATGAACATAGTTTGGGTGCCTTCCTGAAAGCTGTTGTGCCTGAATTCCTGATGAGAGGTTCAATTCTGGAAACCAAGAGGCAAAATGCAGAGACAGACTGAGAGAGAGAGGAAAAGATGATCCC